TGCAGGCATTCTACTGGACCGTTAAGGTGAAAAGAAGCTGAGCCGGATGGCGACGCTCTCCATTTGCTAGTCCATCTTTGTCCCAACCCTCACCTATGGTCACGGTGTCGGGGTAGTGTCGGAAAGAAAGACGTCACAGATAGAAGCAGCGAAGGTGAGATTCCCCTGTAGAGAGCCTAAGGTCAGCCTGAGAGACAGGGGGAAGAGCTTGGAGTAGAGTCGGTGCTACTCTGCGTCAAATGGAATGGTAAATGGCAAATGAACTACACCTATATAGTGCTTTTCTACCTTAGCGGCACTCAAAGCGCTTTACAATGTTTTCTCATTCACCCATTCACACACCAATGGCGACAGAGCTGCCATGCAAGGTGCGAGCCTGCCATTGGGAGCAGCTTTGGGTTCAATGTCTTGCCCAAGAACACTTCGACTGTGGAAGGGGCAGGAATCGAACCGCCAACCTTACGATCAGAGGACAACCGCTCTACCACCTGAGCCACAGCCGCCCAAATGGAGCCGGCCCATGTGGTTTGGGCATCTGATCAGGATTCCTCCTCGGCCCCTTTCTTTGCGGTTTTCTGGGCACGTCCAACTGGGAGCAGACCCCGAGACGAGACCAGAATTCAGTGGCAGAATTCCATCTCCCATCTGGCCTGGTAACAACCTGTGATCCCCCAGGACCCAATGGAAAGTGTTGTTGGGCAAAGGAACGTCTGGAATGACCTGCGTAGCCTGCTGCCAGTGCAACTCGGCTCTGGATGTCAGTGTTGTGTGCTTTACATTTCGTACACTGATCCAATCATGTTACTTGACACAAAGTGTGGATCAACAGATGTTGGTGGTACAGTCCCATCAGTCCCTGCTCTACTTTGCAGTTCATGGTGTTTGAAAATGTTGCTATGCTAATATGCTAAAACTCCAGTTGAGTAGGTTGAAGACGATGGACCAGTGAAAGATTTGATGCTTCCATTGTGATGGTGTTAGCATGCCAACGCACATAATTCTGACTTTTAGGTAAATAAATGTGATGATTGCATTTCAGTGAGTGCCTGTGTTTGTATGTTTGTCTGTTGCTACAGAAACGTAAAAGCAAGCATGGAGAGAGACGTGTGAACTGTAAGGAGGAAGACAAAGGCTCCCCAACAACAGCAAACAGCAACGAATGGTTCAGTTGTGAGCAATGTGGCAAGAGTTTTATGACAGTAACAAGGCTAAAAATTCACCAACATAGTCACACTGAGGAAAAACCATACAGCTGTGACCAGTGTGAGATGACTTTTATTGACAAGACTAAGTTAACAAGACATCAACTCATCCACAGTGGACTTAAGCCATTCAGCTGTGACCAGTGTGGGAAGGCTTTTAGTCAGATTGGTGATTTAACAAGACATCAACTCATCCACAGTGGAGTTAGACCATTCAGCTGTGACCAGTGTGGGAAGACTTTTACTCGGATGATTTACCTAAAAACCCATCAATTTACCCACAGTGCAGTGAAACCCTTCAGCTGTGATCAGTGTGGGGCGACTTTTATTGACAAGCGTACATTAACAAGACATCAAGTCGTCCACAGTGGAGTTAAGCCATTCAGCTGTGATCAGTGCGGGAAGAGTTTTACTCAGAAAATTCATTTAAAAACCCATCAACTCATCCACAGTGGAGTTCGACCATTCAGCTGTGACCAGTGTGGCAAGACTTATACTCGGATGTGTCATTTGAAAGACCATCAACTTACTCACAGCAAAGGTAAACCATTCAGCTGTGATCAGTGTGGGAAGAGTTTTACTCTGAAAACTAATTTGAAAGCCCATCAACTTACCCACAGTGAAGGTAAACCATTCAACTGTGATAAGTGTGTGAAAACCTTTGGTGAATATGAACTGTTGATCCATCAATGCCCCCACTCTGGAAGGAAGCTGTACCACTGTGACGTTTGTGGAAAAGTCTTCAAACACCAACACAGCCTAAAATATCATGAGCGCATCCACACTGGACATGATGCTTATGTATGTGATCACTGTGGCAAACTATTTGCTCAGTATAAAGAATTAAAATGCCATGAGGTTACGCACACTGGAGTGAAACCGTACCATTGTGACCAATGTGGGAAAGGCTTCAATGCCACTGGCACCCTAAAGGCTCACCAACATACCCACACTGGGGAGAGACCATACGGATGTGACAAATGTAGTAAGAGGTATACAAGTTCACATTCCCTGAAAAAACACCAACGGATCCACACCAGAAAGCGGCGCCACAGCGAGGTATGTAAAGACTGGTGTCAGTGACGCTGTACACATTATTCTACATTTGGATATTTCACTGTGCATTGAAATTTAGTGTCAGACTGTTTAGAATAACTGTGGTCAGTCTGATGAACACATTATGAGCTGTCGTTCAGTCTGACCTG